TATTTTGAGAAAGAGTCACGTACAAAATAGTATGAGTCACGGAGTTTTCCACCACTGCTATGGAGAGAATATCTTCCTTTTTCATTTCGTATATCGAAAAAGGATTTTTTGTCATACATTTTTTTATTGTTGTATATCAGTCTTTAGGCTTATATTTTAAACTATCTTTGGCATGCTGCTCAATTTGACCGAAATCTCGATCATTTGGTAACAATGAATGACCCGATACGATTTGGTAACAGTATATTTTCCTCTATTTACTAGAGCCAATTCCTTGCCATTAGCTTGACTTGTTCTTTCTTTTTCAGCCTTCAACAGATGCAACGCATGCTGTGTTTTTAGATCAGTATTTTCCTGTTCATTGGTGACACACGCTAGTTTTTCCTTAAATGTATCACAATTCACACATATGCCTTTAAATGGACTATGAAAGTGTAGATTAAAATCATGGTGGAATATATTTCGGTACATTGCTTTCAATACTGGACTTATATTTTCTATTGACCATTTTTCCTTATAAAGATTGTACATAATTCTTATGTTCAAACTGGCATCGAGGTATTTTCTATTCGGATTATGACTTCGGGTGTAATGGGACTGGTACATGGGGAAACTGCCAATGTTCACGTACCTATTGAATATGTTCTTAGGAGTTTTATTTCTTGGTTAATGCCTATTAATCTTTTCCAGGCGATGAAACAGGTGAACGTTGAATTTCTCTTTCAAGTCGACCATTCGAAATGTAAAACGTTTGCAAAAAGTACTGTTTACTGTTTACAAACTTCATTTGAAATACTTGAAGTATTTTTTATAAAATACATATTTATGGTACTTCTAATATTATTTCTACTTTGATGCATTTTGTGAAGAAAAATCGCCTATTTTCTAAAAGTTTTCAAATACTGTTTTTCTCTCCTGCTCATCAATTCAGATCTTGTCTCTCTCAAAATTAACTGATTTCAAACATGCTACTAAAATCTGTTAAATGCCACAGTAATATATGTCACGCATCTACTGACTTTTACCACTCTGCCTTTCAATGCTATTAGCATTTAGTTAATTAGGTAATCTAGTTGTACCATCTCTAGGTACAATGGCAAACATAATTATTTCATATTTTGTGTGAAAATAGATTCCTGTAAAATGAAGCTTTTGCCGATATTTGGGCAAAAATGGAATTTTGCGACTTTTACCACTGTTGCTTTCAACGGCTCATATAAAAGCTATCCGGATATGGACAAAACATGTGGTAAGATCAGAGGAAGACAGAGTGCTTTAAACAGTATTTTTGAGAGACCAGACGGTAGAAGATCAGTAGGCCGTCCAAGAACAAGATGAAAGGATTATGTTGTAGACGACTTATCTATGATTGGGGTACAATAATGGGAAATGGAAGAGCAAGATTATAGAAGGTGGAGGGTTATAGTGAATGCGGCGAAGACTCACCTCGAATTCGAAAGCCAGTCAAGAAGAAGATTTGTATTCATTATACTTTCCAGTGTGTCCGTATTGTCTGTAGGTGATCTATGGTATAACCTTTGCGACAAAAAAAACAGCGAATAAACCTATTTAACAGACTGGCAACTGTCGAACTTATTTGATAGTTTGTTGTTAATTATTTTGGTAAGCAGTTCGTGTACGGATGTGGTAATAGACTTATTGGTTTGTAATTTTCGAGTTTGTGTTTGTCACCTTTCTGTACAGTAAAAGTACCTGCGCATTCTACCAAGAGGTTGGAATACTTACAAAGTAGTTTGATCTCCAGCAATAATCATCTCTTTTGTTATTCCGTCGTCTCCCGGAGCGTTTCTATTTTTCATCGGTTTTAACCCTCTAACTGGCAAGATTCTAAAAATTATTCTATTTACTTGGGAATTTTTTTCAAGTTTAATAATGTATTAAGAAACCTAGAAAAGCTATTAAAATGTAATTATCATTTTTTGTTTGGCTTCAGGTAAAAACAGGTAAAGGGGTCCTCAGGGGGCCCTTGCCGGTTTAAGTTAAAAATAGCGTTTTATTCATTTGAATGGATTTTATTAAAATAAACTTAAAAACAAACGGAAAAGAAAGTGTATATAAAAACAGTTTTTGGCATTAGAACAACATAAGTGAAGATCACATTTGCTACACATACATTGAGTTTTTGACACTTTGCAAAGTTTACATTTTTTTAACCACTCTCTTTGTTGAGCCAAAGTGGAAAGTGATCAATACCGTCGAAGCGAATGTCATCAATGGGATGTTTTGCTTTTTTTCCAATGCCAGAAGTAGTTGGTTGCGGTGAGCTCGATTGTGATTTTGATGTTGAAGGTCGGCCAAGTACACGTTTTTCACTGAATACAACGAGAGCAGCAGCAATTTGTTCTCTGAATTCTGGTAGCTGCAACAAATTTTCATGTTCCGCTGAGATATTGCTCGAATCATTACATTTTTCAGCATGTATGCAAAGGTACAAAATATAAGCGTTTGTTGCAGCCATATCGATCAAGTGGTAGAAAATTCGAACCATTGCACTACGTGTCTTCGCTCTAATATGGTAGCGACCCATCAATCCATCCATCAGATCGACTCCTCCCATATGTCTGTTGTATTCGCGAATGATCTGCGGACAGTTGACTTCGATGTATTTCTTTTTCTTTCGATCATATCGTGGTACTTTTGCAATATGTTGATTTGGATTTGCAATCAAAAACGGCTCAATGCCAACGTAAGTCGATGCCAGCCGCACGTTCTTGGTATCTTTCCATAAAATTGTACTGAAATCAACACCGTACGCAGATCCAACATATTCAACAGAATATCCTCTTTCTTCATCTTTGATATCCTTATCCAACGGAAGCTTACAGTTTGGGATTCTGTTTGTCCGTATTGTACCCGTATGTAGATTCCTCTTGCACGTAAATAAACTAACAAAGGTAAAGATGTATAGAAATTGTCGAAGTAAAGGATGTGATGAGAAAAGCTAGGTATGGTCTGTGACAAACGTACAACAACGTTTGATGTACTTCCAAGATCAGGTGCGCCAGGAAGAATTTTATTGTCGCCTGCACCGTTGTAAATTTCAAAACGATATGCGTAACCGTGAGAATCACAAAGCACAAACAGTTTGATGCCCCATTTGTGCGGCTTATTTGGCATATATTGACGAAGATGATGCTCGAGTTTGGTCGAACACATCTGCTCATCAACACACAATCTAGCCGTCTTTGGAATCGAATCAAAACGATTGTTGACCTTATCAGCCAATTTCCGGATGCGAAACAGTGGATCATAGCCTGGCTGACCTTTTCGAATGCGCTGCCTTTCATCTTGAAACGATAAGTGTTTCTTTATTGCCATAAACTTTTTTACAGGCATTGTCTTCTGGATGGGGCCGAACGCGTTTTTGCTCAAGTAGCTCTCTAGATTAGGGTATCGATAAATCGACATGTACATCAACACTCCGATAAATTTCCGAATCTCCTCACCACTCGCGGCGAATTTTGTATTGATATTTTCTTGACGAGCTGCATTGTTCGTTTCATTGGCCACCAAATCAATAATCTCTTTTGTGAAGAAATAATTGAAGAGTTCTATTGGTGTTTCCAGTTCTTTTATTGACGATGGCAACCGTACATGTCCTTGGAAAGCTACTTCGTTTACATGCAAGCTCATTGATCGCTTACGCCACGTTACTTTGGTAAATTGTTCCGAATCTTTTTTGATATCCTGAATAGCTGAAATAAGAATAAAAATAGTACACTATTGCTAAAGTATGAATATATAACTATTACCTCTCCCAGTAAAACCACCAATAGAAGGCGTGATCAAAGGTCCAGAATCTTCCATTATAGGTAATGGCGAACGGGGTCGTTTCTTTGGCTTAGAACTTGCAGCATGTGCGACATCGGCGACTGAAGTAGATGGAATTGCTTTCATACATCTAGACGGCCCAGCCTCTTACTTTTTTAAAGATTCGACACATTCGTCAGCTTCGATTTGCACCGCCGTTAGCATTGTTGATGATGCAGCAGGTGTTTCTATGTCAATGATATTTAGCGACATGTTCACATTTTGAATAAAATAGTCGCTTGTTTCACCTGCTTGAATTTCACGGATACACTCTGTTGTCATGTCATCTTGAGCGATCTCATCCTGCTCGTAATCTGGGTCGATGTCTGGATCATCACTGCTATAATCACCTGACGAATCCGTTTCAACAGAGTCCATAAGTTCTTGGATTTCATCTTCGGTCATTACCGACAAATTAAACTTTTTCTGTCTCCAGCTGTTATTGCCTGCCATTTCCAGAAGCAAAATAAACAAATAACTGATGAAAGTTGGTAAACAATAGCACAACAACAAAACACAACAATCACAACAAAGTGAGACGAAATTTCACATAAACCGGCAAGGGGTCCCTTAGGAACCCTTTTTATTTTCGCTTCTAAAGCACACTCAGAATACTTGTTTTGTAATAATTACAATATATAGTGAAACTTGAAGCTCTAAACCACTCATAAAAAAATGTTTTCACTAAATTTAGATTATTTGTAGTATCATAATTTTACGTCGAAAAAAATTTTTAAATGAGAGATAATTGTTCTGTGTTCACCTCGACCTGTCGCAGAAAACTGAGACAAAAATGTAACGATAAGGTTTAATGAATTTCGAATGCATTTGAAACGTCTCTAGACGAACTAGTGGGGGAGATTCAAAACAGTTTGCGGCTACCTGACTTTTACCTGCGGCTTAAATAAACAATAAGCGAAGAGGCCCTCAGGGACCTCTTACCAGTTAGAGGGTTAAGGTATTTTTAACTACCTCGTTACACTATAAACTCTGCGTCAACCAATGATAGGCACATATTTGAAACACATAATACGCGTTGAGTCAAGTACATATACATGTCACATGCAATGAATGGTCAATAAAGATATTTAAATACGGTATTTTCTGGTCATTTTTATATAGACTGCAAAAGTGGAGTAGGAACAGTAGTATATAAATAGTTTACCAACCTGAAACAGCGGTAACATCTGGTAGGTTACTGGAAACTTTTTTCTTGGATCTTTGTAAGGTCCTTTCGAAATCGGACACAGCATCATCGAAGCCATCAGTTGGAAACGGAAATTTATTTGTAGTACTTCTCAAGTAATTCGGCGATGGGGTTGTTTGCTCTTGAATCGTCTGAAAGTTAAAAACAAAAATCAATTCTTACTGTAATGACCAAAGCATTTTCGCTACCCACGGAATGTTTTTCATACTAATTTAAATTAGAAAGACTATGGCTTTGAAAAAGATATCAAGGTGTTTTTTTTTTATTTAAATTATATATTAATTATTACAAATAACAACGACTGATACGGTGTTTCGAGGTTTTTGTTAGTAGTAATTTGTATATTTTCGGTTTTCTCCTGATTAATATTCTGTAGACAGACCGTTTGTATTTGCATTATAATTGACACAACACGAAGATAACTGAAAGATGTTTAATTAAGAAAACAACCTTTGTTTACGAAAAGAAAATGGATTTAAACATATTTGCAGAATTATTAGTAGAAAATCAAAATTTTGTTTGAACTGCGAGGAGATAGCTATTTTTAAATATAAACTAGAAATTAATAAGATTGTCAGTTACTTATTTTCTAAGTCGTAAAGATTTTTGCAGGGCGGCAATTATCTTATTTACACATACATTTGTATCACATACATTTGTTGAAATGCACGGCAAGCCATTGTTAAATGTTCATCAACAAAGGCTTCCTATCAGTGCCGTTTGTCAGATAAAGGATAGCGTGTTTTTATACCGAAGAAAAATTGGGACTCCCATGAAGACTTAAACTCCATATGCTTTGAGAAGTGATTCAAAAAGATTCTCCAGCGTGTAGATAGTAACTCTGTCATAGTATTGGATAATGCATCTTATCACAGCCGCCTTCTTGAACGGATTACAACAGAAAATCCGTCATGCTAAGAGAAAAATGTATTTCATTTACAGAGAATATGGTCAAAGCCAAACTAATGACTTTCAATAGCTAGACTTAGTCGAATAGTTAGTCGAATTAAATTGGGCTCAAATGAAGGGATATGTTAGGAAGGGTTAGATGCCTGATACGATACGTTCCGGACAGTGTGGATTGTTCATATTTAAAACCATTTAAATTATATTTTTCGGAAACTAACCGCGACGGGCTGGAAACGCAACGTGCACGTTAATATGCCACGATCTTTTTAGTATTATAATAACAAACAACAGACCCTCCAGGAGCGTATTCTCTAAAACTATAGTTTATGTCTATGAACGGGAGAGTAATTAGCATAATTTTAACTGGTACCTCCGACCACTCCATGGGCGTGCTCAAGATTAATTGAAAAATTACTTTGAATAATTGTAAAAAATAAATGAATTATTTCAGTGTTATAAAGTGTTATGTGTATGTAAACAAAAGTGACCTCTTTTATCACACACTATATTAGAACTGACTGGCCTACATTAAAAAGGGTTTTAAAAAATTCACATTTTTTTTAATTTTTAAAAATTACTAAAGAAAAAAGAGTTTTTAAAACCGTCTAAGATATGTTAAATCGATGAATAAAAATATTAATATAAAACTTACAGCTACTTAATACAAATCCAAATCAGATTCAGAAGATGAACTTTCAGAACCAAGATTTATAATAACTGGCTCGATCATTTTATCAGTAATATTGTCCAGCTTCCACATTTTTTCCTCTTCTTTAATAGTGTGATTTACTGCCTTTTCCCAGTTTTCAGGTTTTACATTATTTACGGCCTCCAAAAACAACTGTTTAACATCATGAATTTTAAAAGTGGTATTTTTTCTTGAAACTTCACTCTTTATCTGTGCCCATACCAGTTCAATCGGGTTTAATTCACAATGATATGGTGGGGATCTAAGTACTGTCATTCCACGATTTTTGGCAATTTCATCAATTTCGTATTTTTTAAATTTTTCTTTATGAAGGGCACACAACGAATAAAGTTCCTTTCTTATAGATCCGGGATGGTACGTAATATTTTTTGAACTCAGCCAATTCTGCAAGTCTTTTTTTAACCACTTGGTTGTGGGCAGTCCTTCTATAAGTCTGGAGTGATAACTTGCATTATCCATTACTATTACACAGTTCTTAGGAAGAAGATCTATCATTTGTTCGAACCATTCTTGAAAGACATCAGCGTTCATGTCTTCATGGTAGTCACCGGTACGAGTTGATTCAAAAGTTAATAAACCACCTTCAACAAAACCGTCTGAACTGCCAATGTGTACTATTATCAGCCTGCCTCCCTTTCCTGATGGTGGGTTTAAACCAGTAGATAAGTTATTTACAAAAGCGTGCCTTTGACTTGTAACAGTTTCATCCTGCCAAAATTTATTTGGTGTATGACCCTCGTTGATCCATGTTTCATTAAGATAAAATATTTTTCTTTTTTGGTTTCTCATTTCCTTTATGGTTCTTAGAAAATGTCTTCTCCATATGACAATATCGCTTCTTTCTAATAAAATAGACTTTCTGGGATTCTTTTTCCAGCGGAAGCCTATTTCTTTTAAAAGTTTCCATAACGTACTTCGACGCATTTCTGAGTAATCCTTATCATCTCGAACTGAGACAAGAACTTTATCCAATGTTGGAAATTCTTGTCTAAAGAAGAATTCATGCACTTTCCGTCGAAGTCCTTCTTTAAAATGATATTCTATTTGAAATTTTGGTTTCCCTGGAGCATTACGTGGCATTTGAAAACTACCACATTTCTCTTCTTTAATAACTCTGTAAATCGTAGATTTCCCAACACCAAGTGTACTGCTAACTAACTCAACGGTCTCATCAACACTTTCACATAAACGTTTGTCTGTAAATGATTTAAAACAATTAAATATTAATGTTTTTTCATTAACTGTTAAAGGACCAATTTTTCGGCGTTTACACGGCACTTCCAAATGTTCCATAACACTAGTATACACAATAAACTGCACCTTGCAACTGAAGTACCTACTTTTAGTGAACTGTTAGGAATTTTGAATACGCCACTTGGACCTTCCTACAAAATGGAAAAACCCACTATCACATTTTCTGTGGAATAAGTTTAGAAGGTAATTATCTAGTCAATTACTGTCGTAGATTCCTGGAATTAAAGAATTAAATGTTTGATTGTTGAAACCCTTACTTCGTGGAATGCACTCATTTCAGATAAAATAAAACGTTTTATTTTATCTAAAGAATTAAACTTTATTTTGCAAATAGGTAGGTACTTATTAAACTTTTATTGGTTATATATAACCAATAAAATAAACATCTTACATTTCTTGCAAATTCATTAGTACCTGTTAACCTCCATCACTCCGACACTGGCAACCTTATTTAGGGATTAGTAACCCTCACAACTATTGTATTCTATTCTGCTCCAACCTTTATACCTGGTGGTCATACTCAATTTAAAATTGTTTTCCTATATACTTCTGTAAACTTGTTGACAAATATCTGTTTTTCATTGAGTCACCCGTATCAACAGTTTAGGGATTTGCATACATAATTTATTGATTTATTACTCTCTCATACATAAAAATACACTATAACAACAAAGTTCAAGTAGGTACATATATTTTAATAGGGTTGGAATAATACATATAAAATTAAATATCATATCATCATATCATATATTTAATACGCATTTATATTTATATGGTTATAGGTATGTTATTATGTACAATGAAATAAGAGAAATGAACAAATTCAAGAAATTAAGGAAAATCATGTTTTTAACAGTAAAAGATTAAAAGAGAGGTAGCAAAAATCAGAATTAAAAAGATAACATAATAAAATTAGAAACAATAACATAAAAAAATAAAATTTGAAGTTTAGATGGAAAAAAATAATTACAAATTATAACTCTATGTCACTATTGCTGTCATCTTCAGTAGAATCGTCATCGTCTAATGTTATAATTATTGGTTTAATATGTGAGGTTAATGTTCTGTAATGATCGTCCGTTTTTATAACATGTGAAACACAATTTGGCCACAGTGTTGGGGAAGTCTCTTTAATTTCTTCTACAACATGTGATACCGATTGGCTACTAAATTTGGGACAGCAGTTGTTTCGCCGTAAACTTCCCTTAAGTTGGCTCCAGATTAATTCAATAGGGTTGAAAACACGGTAATAAGGAGGTAATCACGATATAATATGACCATCACGTTTGGCTAATTCGTCTATAACAAACTGTTTCTCAAATACTTTTTTGTGAAGAACAAAAAATTCGATATTTATGTTTTCGTCAAGCTTACACTGGGGATTTTTCTAACTTTTCGCTGTGATACGTCACGTTATTCATTAAAATGACACTTTTTGGAGGAAAATTTGGCAACACTTTCTTTTCAAAAATTCCTTAAAAGTTACTCGTCATATTTTCATGGTAATCCAGCTTTGAATCTTTAATATTTTTTGCCGATATTAAAAAATTTTCTCCTCCAAGCCAGCCATTTTTGGATCCAATGTTCAGAATAATTATTCGCTGACCTCTATTAATTGGATAATTGGGTGCACATTTAATAGAGTCGTCTGCCCAACCTTTTTACGGCATTTTATATAAATAACAGGATTTTTATTGTGGGGAATCCAGTTAGAAAAGAAAATCGCGAACGCGTGTTTAAATGTAACGAACGTAATAATAAATTATTGTAAGATAAATTATTATAAATAAACTTTAAATAAATTAAGTTTGTAAGTGTTATAAATATTAAACCTTTAGTAAATTAAATTAAGAACAATAAATTAGAATTAATAAAGACGATATATCTTTCAAGAAAGGCCAGAACGGCCGTCACCAGAATCTTTACCAGAAAACAATACGATTGTTCCGCGAGGACTATGTTTTATTTGTACGCACAATATTTACAAACTGTCATTTATTTGTAGCACTTGCTTTGCTAAGAAAACTCCTAAGAATACCTGAATGTAAATGCAATATACGATTTCTTTTACTTTCGTTGTTTACTTAAAATGATTTTTAGTTGGTTTTTACCAGAATTTAAATTGTGTTTTAAAGAATACAGCATTTTGATTTTTAGTTTGCCAATTTTAATTTTTTTATATTTTGTAACTCACTGAATTAAAATATATTTTTTTTTCTTTTGATGTTTTGTTTTAATTGTGTAGGTGATCGTTTAAAA